GCCCTCCCAGCGAGGGCCTGGAGACATAGAGAGGATCACCTGGGAAGACCCAGCTGCCCATGCCTCAACTGCCATGGAGCCACCGAGACAATCGACCACCTGCTCTGGCTCTGCACCTGTGCCAAAGAGGTATGGAAAAGGGTGAAGCAGCTCTGCGAAGTGGTGACTGGCATCAACTGGTTAACCAGAGAAGTGGCGCTGTACAGGCACCTCGCCAAACACCAGGGGAACCTGCCGCCCCATTTCAACCAGTTTGTATCCTGCATCAGGAATGCCCTGTGGAAGTCCAGGAACCTCCTGTTGTACAGGCACACGGATGTAGAGGTAGTAGGTTGCGTGAAATTGGCTCTGAGCAAACTTCAGACCTACTACCAGAAATCAGGAGTGGAGGATGAAGAGGACGCAGCCGAAGCTTCCTGGCTGGCACACAGACATGTGGCACAGGACTTCCAACTTCCGCCTAGCAGAGAAGGGGGCAGTGACAGAGAGGTAGAGGATGAGACGAGTGGAACTGAGGATAGCGACAGTGACAGCAGCAGCAGGTCCTCCAGTGGGAGCTGGAGCGACAGTGACGACAGGAGAACTGAGTATGTGGCCCCGCTAGTGGGGTGGGGATGAAAGAAAAGGGTTGCCTAGTCTGAGAGACCAGAAGTTGCTTGTGTGTGTAGTGTGCAATGCAGATGTTGTAAAGGGTCCGGGTGGACAGCTGGCTTTTGTACAGGTGTGTGGGCTGCGTGGATGCAGTTTTTGTAACAGGTTAAGGCTTTTTTTGTGTAGTGATACTCAGAGTGTAGATATAGATAACCTTATATATATATAGACATATATTTTTACCAAAAAAAAAAATCTTTCTGCTCAGATCAAGCGTACTGTAGTCCTATGCTTGCCTGGCAAGGGAAACACCATGACCACTGAGCGAGTCTTCCTAGTTGCATCTGGGGACGACCGCTCTCCTGGCACAAGGACCGTACCTGCTAAGGTAATGTACAATAAATAAACCTCCCACTTAACTGCTGGAGTGGGAAGGGTCTTGGCTTTATGCCCACTTTATAGAAAGGGGACACTCCTCCCTGGCTTGCTCCGGCTGGGGACAAGCAAAACTTGGGGGCATCCGCATCCCAAGTCTCCAGCAAGTAGGATGCCTGCCAAAGGATTTGGAAATATCTGAAGCCCCAGATAGGCGTGGAGGATGTTTGCCTGTAGTAGGGCCACTTGTGGTTCTGGACTGACTCATGGATTTGGAATTTGTTTTGGCTAATTTGACTTGGAATATGGAAAATTTAAATTTAAAAAAATTCTGTATTTATTCTCTATATTTCATTCATGTATTTATTTCTTCATTTCGAGGCAAGCAGTCATAAGAAAGTGCTAACAGCAAACCCAGAAGTCAGTTCAGACTCCCTGAGAGTGACTTGGGTTTTGCATGAGTGAGCTGCCTCAAAAACGATCAGACACTTCGACCACTTCTACTGATCTTACCTGTCACAAGGGCTGACGTCACCCCGCAGCAGCACGGGCCTGCCCCACCCCCTTATGACGCGCCTTTCTTTGGCTCCGTCCCTCCTCAGGTCGCCCCGCCCACCGCTGTCGTTCATTCTTCTGGCCTCGCCCCTCTCCCCTACACCCCGCCCCTCACAACGCGTTCCTCTCCCCGCTCTCCTCCGCCCTTTGGCTCCGCCCCCTCGTCCACTCCTGTGCCCGTGCGCCGCGCCTCCAACGCCTCTTGGCCCCGCCCCCGGCTTGGCCGTTTCCGCCCTTCAGCTGCAGCCACGTCTCGCAGCTTGGGCCCTGCCCTGCGCTGGCGGCGGCGCATGCGCACGGGGCGGCGGCGCATGGCTGCAGGCGGGCGCCATGGCGGCGTATGCCGCGCGGGTCCTGGCGCTGCTGCTGGCCGTGGCGCTGGTGGAGGGCCTGTACTGCGGGCTGCACGTGTGCTACGATGTGCTGGGCGTGAGCCGCGAGGCTAGCAAGGCGGAGATCGCGCGCGCCTACAGGCAGCTGGCCCGGCGCTACCACCCCGACCGCCAGCACGGCAATGCCCAGGACCCGGACACGGCGCATGAGACCTTCCTGCTCATCGCCACAGCCTACGAGACCCTCAAGGTGAGCGAGCGGGACCGCCGCCCCGGCCGCAGCCGCCCCGGTAAGAGACACCGACGGGACGCGGGGCGCGCGGGGCGGGGCGAAGCGAGGCAAGGCGGCGCCGGCGCTTCCGTCTTGGGGGTCGTGTGTGGGTCCCCCCCGCCGGGGTGGCTCCGTCCGCGGGGGGGGCACGTGTTCCCCCCCGCCTGCTGAAGTGGTTCCATCGTGGGGGGCCATATGTGACCCCCTCGCCTGTGGAGGTGGTTCTGTCGGAGTGGGGGGGGGTGAGTTTCTACGTGGGGGGGGTAGGGCAGGACACAGGCCGTGGCTGGGCCCCTCCCATCCCACAGTCCTGGTGGTGGGGGGAGCCCAGTGCCTTGCTGGGGGGGTGTGGGCATGGGGAGCAGGCAGGGCTGGAGGGGGCAAGTAAGGATGGAGCTGGGTGGGCACTGGTGCTTTGGAGCTGCCACTGGAAGTCTGCAGGCAGTGCTGGCCTGCTGTGGCCTGCAGAAAAGGACCAGGGGCGTGGCCACAGGTTGAGCATGTGTGGCTGGGTAGTAGTCTGTGGTGTCCTAGCAGCGCTTGGAGCGCTGCAGGCAAGTTGCGGGAGGCATTTCTGCTAACCTGTTCACCTGGTGTGCTGGGTCTGGGTTTGGGTCCCGCACTCAGGGGAAGGCTGGAGAAATTGGACAGAGTGGAGCTGTGAGTAACCGTGTAGAAAATGTGATCTCTAAGGCAAGGTTGGCAGAGCTGGCGTTATTTAGAGTCAAGAAAGAAAATCTGGAAGAATGTGATAATGGTTGTCAAATGGGAGGCAAGTGATGCATTTCTCTCTGCATCTGCTGGGACAGGGCAAGAAGTTACAAATATACCTTTTGAGGTTCCTTCTAACCCCATTTTCCCACAGGTCTGTGAGTAAATGACCATCTTGGACTTCCAAGAGTCACTGAGGCTGGCAGTTATAAAAGAAGCCCCTAGAAGCACAGCCCCAAGCATCCTTTCTTCTTCCTTTGCAAGGCTTTCTCCTCACTGTAGAGGAAGGAGGTAGATTATTACGAGGCAGACCATCACTATCGCTCTAGTATAGGGTGGGCAAAATACAGCCTGCGGAGCAATTTTTTTTTTTTTTGCCTGGCCCAGGTGAGGGGCCATGGTGCGTACACAGCAGGGCCAGGGCAGCATGGCAGCTGAACTCTTTATTTCCTTGCAGTGGTGGCTCCTTCAGGCTGCCCCTGCCAGACCCAGTCCCACTGCCTGGGTGCTTTGGCCCATCCATTCCACACGTGCTGCCAGGGTGGGACCCACATGGAGAGTATGCAGCTGGGTGGCTGGCATGAGGCCATGGGCCAATGGGGAGTGGCATCCGGGAGCATGACAGGTGAGCAGGGCTGGGGAGACCCTTGGATCTTGGGCAGTGACAGTGCAGGGCTGTGCTGGGCGTGGGTTCTGTGGATAGGGGTGTATAAGGAGCAGATTGCAGCTCTGGCACAGCCCTGGACGCAGCTTCTTGCCCAGCTGTGTGCCCTGCCTGTGCAGCTTCTGTCTGGTCTCCATGGAGGCCCCAGGATTATGGGGTGGTGATAGAGTGGGGCCGGGGCCCAGGACAGAGCGGCTGTACACTCCTTGCATGCCCCTGCCTGTGGAACCCATTTTGGTCACAGGGGTGTGAGGGAAGTGGATCGTAGCTCTGCCTTGGGCCCTGACCCCATGCTGTCACCACCCCACTTCCCTGCCCTCTTACCTGAGCCCTGCCTGCCTGTCCCACTCCCAAACACTGCTCCCTACCCACGGCTCCATCCTACATAGGGAGTTTTGGTGAATTGTTGTGTTGGGGCAAGGCGCGATGGGTGTGCTGACCTGGCCTGCAACTGCATGGGGCCAAGTCCTGTCCACTTGTGCTAGGGCACCTGTGCCAGGCTACCACCAGCGCTGGCCAGGATGTGCAGCTCGTCCAGGGGGCTGTTCCTGGTGCATCTGGGTGCTACTCTGTGGTCCCTGCCTCTAATGACAACTCCTGCTCCTGAGCTTGGCTTTGCCAAGCCATGCTGCTCTAAGTGAGCAGCTTCAGCTGGGCAGTTCTTGCCCCAGCATGCAGGGCTCCAGTTCCAAGCCACCTTCCTGGAGCTGGAGCCCTGCATGCCTGGACAGGAGCCATCCGGGTAAAGCTGCTCACCCAGAAAGGCTTGATGTGGCAGTGGCAAGATCAGGAGCAGAGCAGCACCCAACCAGGCTGTGGGCACCAGAAGGCTGCCCCAGTGCAAATTAGTGGAGCTCAGCCCCATGCAGAGTGCTGTGGGGGCACTGCAGACCTCAGTGCCCAGGTGAACTCTGCTGCATGTGCCCCCAGGCAGCCCCCTACCTACACACATGCGCACACTCCTCTTTCCCCCCGCACATAGTCCCCCCACCGGAGGCCAGGGGCACGTAGGGAGTAGGCACAACCCAGTCCTGTGATTCCAGCCTTGCCTGTCCCTCCCATTCCTGAACACTGCTCCATGACCACCCACAGACCCATAGGGAGTTTTGGTGAGTTGCTGGTGGAGTGCTGACCTGGCCCATGACAGCTTATCAAAACTCCCCATATGGCCCTTGGGCCGCAATAATTGGCCACCTCTGCTTTAGAGTATTTTTTTTTGCATTTGTTGGTCCTGTGCTATGATACTTAATTCTTTATTTCATTAAATTAAAGAAAAATGAAAATTTTATTTTTTTCAGCTTAGTTAGCTGTAATACTTTTAATAGCTTGTCCTCTAATTAATTGTTCTAATAGGTCAGTTTTCTTCAAATTTTTAAATCTTCCTTTTTAGAAAGAAACATTAACTAAAATAAATCTCAGCCCAAAGAGTTCCAAAATCTGGGAGGAGAAGGGGGAGGGAGGATGGGGTGGGACTCCCAAACCTTGTAAATAGGAGAGGAAAATGGAAGTATCTTTTTTAGCTGTCATGAAAACTGAACTTTGTCAAGAATAAATGCAGGGAATTTTGACACTGCAGACTTTTCGGTAGGGTATCCAAGTAAGCAAGCATGAACTGAACAATTTATCTGTGAAGCCTGTTCTAGTAAGTAATTCAACCAAGAACCTTTTTGTTTTTGAGCAGCAGAAGGTAGCTTAATCCTTTTGGAAGTGGTCTGTTTTCCCACTGAAGTCATGCAGCTCAAGGCTTGTCAGCAGCTTGTATGATGCACAATAGTCTTCTCCATGCTTTTAGAGGGTTTCCTCCTCCCATTATTATCCACAGCCAGTTCTGCTTGGCTTTCAAAGCTAGATAAAACTGACCACATTCAGATTAGTTTCCATGGTTTTGCAAATACTAAAAGACTGCCTTTCAGTTAACTTCAGAAAACTCCCACCATTTATTCATCCCCAGATAGATATTCAGTGTGTTTTTAAATCAGTACATTAATTTAATAATGTTTACTTGAAAAGTTTTTAAGGTGGCCAGGTAGAAAATTAAGGAAGAACTCTTGCCAAAGGAAGAATTAAGTATTTAAAGGGCATATAATCTCCCTGTATGTTATTTTGGAATCCCCATCTCCTGTTGTGAAGAAAGTGAATATTTTCTAGACTCCACATTTAGTGCACACCTCAGGGGACACTCAATTTAAGAAGAGTTCTTCTGTTTTAACACTATTGTTTTAGGTAGCATTCTAGATAGTTGGACTGGGGGCTGGGAAAATTCTAGCAAAATATCTCTTTGATTTATTTGTGGTAATTAGGGTGGTGTGGGGCTCAATATACCGTAATAAGGTCCCACTGGACTCTGCAAAAATGTTACGACCATATTGTCATGTTATACCACTCATTGCTGAGAGTAGTATAACAGTACTGTGGGTGTGAATTTGGTAAACTAATTGGCTACAGGACTGTTTTCTGAAATGGTCTAGGTAACAGTGACTAAATCTGAAAGGATCTGAACCTTAAAAAGTTGTTATTCTGCAGGATGAAGAAACACGTAAGGATTATGACTACATGTTGGATCACCCTGAAGAGTATTACCGCCATTATTATCATTACTATAGCAGGAGGCTGGCACCTAAAGTGGACGTCAGAATAGTAATTCTGCTTACAGTATGTGCTATCTCTGTGTTTCAGGTAAAATACATTTATACTTCCCCTTGGATTTCTAAACTAAAAGATGCTGCTTCCTGTTTTTACTTCCCTTACTGCCACTGTTGCTTTGTGCAGTTAAGTGAAAAACCACAAGAATAGATGGCTTCATTATTTCTCCTTGGGATAAGTGCTGTCTGCTATCTTTACTGAATATCTGTTCAACAGATTAGATCTTGGAGTTGAGTAATTCTGTCTCTTGGACCCCAGCCTATACAGATAATGGAAGCAACCTCCTTATTTTTTAGTACTATATAGTTAACATGTAACATCTTGCACTGTTAGAAATAATCAAATTTTATGGTTCATGAAATGAAGGGCTAAATGCTTTAGAGTCTGTCCCAGGCATGGGAACTAGATTATTAGGCAAAGTGAGATTGAACCAGTTAAAAAGAATTTTGTTTATTTGAAACAATGATCTTAATGACTGACTATATTTCAGACAACTGTAATTATTGCTGAACTGTTGTTTAAATGCGTGTGTGGGGGGGGGCGGTGATTATGGAAGTCCTAAAGGTTTATATACTAGGGGTGCACTAATATTTTTTGGGTCGATACCAATGGCTGGTTATTAATGAGCCATATCAGCTGATCCAATTGCTGATATGCAGCCTGGCAACTTGAAGAACAGCCTCCCGCTGGTAAGTCTGGGGGCGGGGGGAGCAGATTGGGACCTATGTGGTGAGGGAGGGAGTGGGGCAGGGGTAGGGATAGGCACTGCCCAGGTGGGATGCGAGATGGAGTTGCAAGCAGCCCTTCTGGGATTTGGGGGGGAGGGGGTGTCCTGCACCCTGTCCCAGCTGTGCAGTGTCTACCCCAGCCCCACTCCCTCCCTTACTGTGGGGGGCCTTGATCTGCCCCCTTCCACCCTTTCCCACCCCTCCTCCCCCCTCTTCTCCCAACAGATTTATCATCTGGAAACTACTGTCTAAGCTGCCATGCTGGCAGTGTGCTTTCTGTGACTATGTGCATGCACATGGCATTTTTTGGCAATGCTATTGGATACATCAGCCAAAAAAAGCCGATTGCCAACAATGTCAGTTTTTATTGGTGCCAATATGATATGAACCAATGTATCGGTGCACCTCTATTAAATACTGCCCTGCATCCTGCTTCTCATCACTGAGGCATCCCACGTTATTTTTGTGAACTGAGTGGCACCCAATTTCAAAAATTAATGTATGGATTACAGTGTTTACCTCCTTGCAAAGGGGCCTGGTATTGGGAATAGGGGATTGTCCAGATGGGCCTGGGTCTGTACTTATCTGCTTAATTTTACTGCTTATCTTCTGGCACCCTGGTTGAGAATCACTGGTCTGTATGTGGAAGGAATGATCTGAATATACCATAATAAGGTTTCATTGGACTCTTCTATGACCCTGTTGCTTATGGCAGTGTATAATCAAAGAAGCACTGTGTGCTAGTAAAACTGGTGTATAGGTTGAGTTTTTTTCTTTATTTCTTGGGGTAGAAGAGAAGCATTTTCTTAACTATTGTAGTATTTTTGTAGCAAGATATGATACTGGTGTATAGAACTGATACTCAATTGGGGCTATGCAAGATCCTTTGAAGGGTGTCCTGAAGTATGAGGAGATAAGCAGGTAGTCACAGGCTCGGGCTTGTCCCTGCCTGGCTGCTCCCCTTCCCCCATTACCTAGCCCCTCCCACTCTGTTGCTGGCAGTTGCTGCTACTGTAAACCATGGGATAAGGCTTCAATTTGAAAGTAATTTCATGTAACACACAATTTTAATCCAACGTTGTCTTAGTGGTAAACTAGCTCTCCATTTTTTTCACTGGAAAAAGTAAAGTGAAATACATTTTTGCATACACTATGAAACGTATTCCTTAAAAGTGAGCCTACGACTGAACCCCAAGAAGCACAGTACAGAGCACTTCTGTCTTAGGAGTGCTAACACATTGTGGTACTTTACTTCCCATCTGGTGACTGACTGGCCAACAGAAGTTTGTCTCCATTTTCCTTGAAAATAAGGGACTCTTTGAGTCTTTAAGTCCTGCAGCAGAGTCTCATTTAGCAATTTGGAAACACTTTGTTCAGTCCCCATATATGACCCTTCCAGGGCTGGCATGGTGTTTTATTTCCTTTAACCATAATAAGTTACCTCACCTCTAATCTTGTTTTCTTAGCAGTAAAATGGGGTTACTATCTACCTTGCCTGTTTGGATAAACAGATATTTCCATAGCACTTAGATTATAAAGTATAAAATGTAATCTGTTTTCAGTTTTTAGCATTGGTGGTATTTAACTGGTAGCTTAATGTCCAGGAGGCAATGAGCTTTGTTTTTTCCTGTGCTTTCTTTGTTGAAGTTACAAATGGAAATAAGAATCTGTTACTTTTCTTCTTATATTCTAGTTCTTCAGCTGGTGGAGTAGCTACAATGAGGCTATCAACTATTTAGCCACAGTGCCAAAATATCGCATCCAAGCTACTGAGATTGCAAGGCAACAAGGCCTACTCAACAGAGCTAAGGAAAAGGGCAAAAATAGGCGGTCTAAAGAAGAAACTCGCAAGGAAGAGGAGGACATCATCAAAAACATCATAAAAAATAAAATAGATATAAAAGGCGGCTACCAAAAACCTAAAGTATACAACATTCTCCTATTCCAAATCCTCTTGGCTCCTTTTTACGTGTGCAAATATGTAATCTGGTATTGCTGGTGGATTTATTGTTTCAATATTAAAGGTCAAGAATATGGAGAGGAAGAAAAACTATACATAATACGTAGATACATGAAAATGTCCCAGTCTCAGTTTGACAGTTTAGAAGATGAGCAGAAAAAGACTTTTCTTGAACGGCACCTGTGGATGAGAGAGAACTATGAGGCGAGTAGTTTTGACATGTTGTGATGATAACAAATGCAAAAGAGAGAACTTTCTTAAATGCAAAACTACAATTTCCTACCATGGTGTTTGTATGTAAAAGTCACTTCGGTACTAGACGTTGCAGCTTAAACTGGAGACTGCTGGCAGTGGATGGAAATCCTGTATCCAAAAAGCAGTTTTGCCATCCTGTGGTATACTTAAATACAATAGTAGGGTGGTGGGGCTAGCTAGATCTAGTACACCAGTGAGAAGTGCCCTTGAAAAAGACCTGATAAATCCGCCACAGTAATTAATTATGTTTATCCAGATCAGTTGAAGTTCCTGTTTTGCAGCAGTCTATCACTTCAGCCATTCTCTTCACTGGTCCAGGATATGACTTCCTTATTGCTGTATGGCACTATTAATATGTTGTTTGTTTAATGCTATGTATGCTGATGGAATTAAGTGTTGCCACAAGGAAACTGGCCTGTTTAGGTCCAGGTAGAACACGAACACGTGCTGGAAACTGAACAGCAAAAAACAGACTTGGAAGGGTGGGGAAGTTTGTTAATAGAAGAGTTAGCCATGTGGCATAAAAAAAAAAAAGCCATATGGAGTGGCTTTTTTCACAGTGATACCAAAGAAAAGCTTGCAGTTGAGATCCAAAAGTTTCTCTTAGATCTTTGAAACTGGCATGTGCAGCGATATATCAGTTGAATATCAGATTGGCATCGATATTAAAAATATTAACATTGGCAATTGGCGGCTTTTGGCTGATAATGTCACCAATAAATGCCACGTGCATGCATGCAACCATGGCATGCTCACAGCCAGGAACGCAGCCTGGAGTCCTTTTTAATATTAACAATAGTCTATAAACTGTTTGACTAATGGATAGAGTAGTCATTAGTTCACCTTAAGGGCCTATGTTTTCTTGGGCTTTAAAGTTGTTGGGTTTGTTTTTTAAATCTCTTTCCCTTTCCAGGTCTACAAACAAGAGCAAGAGGAAGAACTAAAAAAGAAGATGGCCATGGACCCACGATGGAAGAGATATCGGAGGTGGATGAGGAATGAAGGACCTGGAAGATTAACGTTTATTGATGAGTGAAGGCTGCTAACCAATACATGCAATGTTGAAGCTGACTTGCAAGACTTTCATAACTACATTTTCAGAGTTTGATCTGCTCTGCCTCAGCAGTGATCTAAAACTCAGGAATATTTCATCAGGCAGAAAAGTAGTACAGGTTTACCATTTTTATAAATAAAAACAAATCAATTGCACAGAACTAGTTCAGTGTATATATCCCACTTTTTCTTTAGCAACTTTCACATTAATCACCAGCCCAACCAGACCCTATGCCCTCAAAATATCTTCCATGAAGTCGCCTTTGTTGTGTTTTTATTGTTTGGTTCCCACTTATAAAATCACAAGGCTTTGCATTTGGTCCATAGGGATGTGTAAATGCTAACATAAATGCTGTGAAGAAGGATAATTTTTAATTTAACTCTCCTTCTCAGTCCAAAAGCTTCCCAAATGAATAATCTTGCCTAATAACATTTTTGAGGCAGTTAGCCCAACGGCCTTACACTTGAGTGTTACTGTACTTTGTCCAGTTGGGAATGTGGACTTCTTCAGTCATTCTGATAAGTAGTGCATAACTGTTCCTCAGTGTTAAACTAATGGGCCTTATTTTTTCTTTGTTCTACAGAGTGAGTGATGCATTAAGATGATTATATTAGAATCTGATGTTTGGTTTTTAATCTTTGTAAAATGAACTGCACTACTTGTTTGGAACAGGTGTACTGGTGAATATGTTGTTGCTATTAAGGCTATAAACAGATATCACCTTTGTCCCAGGAGAAGGTATTTTGTCCTATATCAAAGTGTGCACTTCCAAATATACAAGTCCACTATCCTGGGTTAACTCCCACCAAAGTAAGTGGCATAAAATTCTGTCTGCCTCACTTTCTCCCAGCACATTGTGGAGAGTGTCTGTATGGTTATCCTCAGACAAACTGACCGCATGGTTCTCCATGCATCCCACAATGATTTCCATTTGGAGAGGTGGAGAACCAGGAGCCACTTGTTCCAGCCACCATAATCAAGTAGTCTTCTAAAAGATTACTGCATAAATGTCAGCCTTCAGGCGCAAATGCCATGGGCAGCAGATACTCAAAGTCTTAAGGCAGCAGTCCCTGAGGACCTATGACATCAGCTGTTTCTGGAGTGCCCAGAGCATTATGCACCTGCAGCGAGGGGTTGTCCTGCATCCTCTCACTGAATGACACAGCTTTGTGATGGCCCTAATTTCCCAGACTCAGACAGTGACTTGGATTCGCTGTGGCTGTGGGTTTTTACTGAGTCACACCCAGAAGACTACCATGATGCTGAGCCAGGCCAGGGACTCCATCTCTGTACAACCACAGTGTAGATATAGAGCTGAAGTGACTGGCCCCGGTCTTCTGCTTGTCACCAGGCTGCCAAAATGGGCTCTCAGCCCACCCATGCCTGTTCAAACTTTCCTGGCATAGTTCCTTTTCTCCCAGCCCCAGGGACCTTGCCAGTGACAAGGAACACACACAAGCTGGACCTTGCCTATATGCAAGTTTGCTCATGCCAAGGTGGGAAGCCCAGACTCTTGCCTTTGTTTACTGCTGCACGGTGGCTGGTCACCATGGGTGGTGAGTGTGAGGGATTGGGCAAGGGTTCAAAAAAGGAACTAGACTTCATTCCTGGGAAGGGGGTGGGGGGCCATTCTGGTGTGTGTGTGCGCAAAGCACCTCAGTTTAACTGGGCAATTAAGTACTGTCATTGTTTTATGGAGGCATGTCCATGATGTAGAGAGCTTTGCTTTTGTGTGCTGTGCATTACCTCTCCTTTTACCTTCAGTTGAGGAGCAGATATGGTAATAGCCCAATTGACACTTTTGGCATCCTTGGTGTCCTAAACGAAGTGCCCCCTTTTCAACATCAATTGAGTATTTATGGTAATGGCCCTGTTGACATAGCTTCTGCTGTCCTGAATTGCTGTTGTGCATGAATGGCAGGGAATGGGGCCTCTAAATTGTTTGGGGCGGGGCTTGAGTGGTGCTAGGTGGAGGTGACCATTTGGCTTCTCTTAGTTCTTGGGGCACATGTCAGGTGACTCCAAGTTCTATGGTTGCTGTGATTGTGTGCCAGTCTATTGCAGACAGATAACTAGTGCTTAATATATCTCATGGGTTGTGACCTCATGTTCCAGGGCAGAGCCTTCCTCCTTGAAGCGCTGTTGTAGGTGGCACAACTCTCCCATGCTTCACAGCCATCTGGGACCACCATGTCCTCCAGTAAAAGGACAGCAAATACTGGTGGGTTTTCTCAAAAGGTAATAAGATAGCTCTGGCCTTTGTCGTGGTATCAGGCTTATTAGAGTCATATTGGCCAGGTTGAACGGGTCTTCGAGCAAATGTGGGGGATAGGTCCTTGACCTCTCTCCTGCCTCTCCCACAGCCTGCTGATTACACTTGGTGGCATTGGAGTGAATGTACTGGTGAATATGTTGCTACTGAGGTTATAAATAGATGCCACCTTTGTCCCAGGAGGAAGTGTTTTGTCCTCAATCTAAGTGCACACTTCCAGGTATTCTGGGTTAACTCCCACCACGGTATGTAGGATAAAATGCTAGCTGCCTCACTTCCTCACAGGATGTTGGCTTGTGTGACTGGGTATTAACAGAGATCCAGGGGTTGATTTCCATGGCTTAGACTGGGTGTTGTTACCTGGCAGGCCCCCTTTGGATTCCTGGGGTAAGGATGGTGAGCTTAGCATGTTGAGCGAGTAGGTGAAATACTCATTCCCGCAGGCTGCATGGCCTTGCAACTGGCAACGTTTGTTGGAGTTCTGCATGCTATCTGGACAGTCGGGAGCTAAACTATGGATGCCTGACTTGTTCCCTTTGCAGGGCTGACACCTGCAGCTGGTGGATCTGGCATCTACAGGTCTCAGGATGCCCATGAGTGCTTGGTAAGGTGGGCACAGAGAGCTGCACCTGGGCGAAGCTGCTGTTCTCATCAGGTCCCACACCACACAGACCACTGAGGCCAGGGAGAGGTGGGAGGCGTTACAGAGAGCGCATGGACGTGGTCTGTCATGGCATCAAGTAGTCCAGGCAGACAGATAGCTATGTGGCTCGCTAGGAGAAATGCCCAGGTCTGCCCACACCACTAGGTGACCAACAGATGCTCTGCCTGTGTTTGTGGAGGCTGATGGTGTTGTCTTGTGGCTATGCTGAACTTGAAGATGGAGGCAATCCTGGCCAGTCTCCAAATCGCCCACAATACTCCAGACTGCTCAGGCAGCCCCAGGGTTCATGGGGAACTAGAAGCCCAGCAGGCGCATGTGCCCCAAGTCCTCAGCAGCAGTTAAAAGGCAACTGTCAATGAGTGCTGGACATGTCCACACCACAGCCCACTTCTGTTTGCAGGTGCTGACAGACCCCTCTGACACAGGTACACCATAGACCTGAGTTTGGGGAACTGGACATTTCTTTTCATGTGAAGTTTTTGATTGTATTTTTCTCATTTCTCCATTTTAAGTAGCTGCCCCTTTTATGTAAGACCTGTGATTTTGCTTGCTCGCCTGTGGAGGGGGAAAATTGGCCTTTAATAGGTTGGGAGATGTGAAGAAACCATCTTTCTGCAAGAAGGGAAAAACACTTTTTTCTCAGCTAGCCCAAATACTGGGCTGTGATCTGTGTATGGAGCATCCATCCCCTCCATCCCAGCGTGCATACCTCCCAGCCGGCCCTGACACTGCAGCTCCCATCCTGACTCCTGTTTCACATTTCCCCCAACATCCCAAAGCTCCCAATGCTCAACTGCCAGTGCTGGAAGTTGTCACAGGAGAAGTCAGGTTTGGTTTCAGGAGTTTTAAGAGGAAGCAAAGTTTGATTGGTTTGCGGAACTTAATAGTGGGGAGGGGGAAAGCACAATGTTAAATAGTTTTATGCAGTTTAATAGTGAAGGTGGCATTGCTCTGCTCCCCTGGCTGGAGTCATGCAAAGGGGTCTGCCAGAGCTTCCCCCACACTGCCTTGCAGTTGGTTTCCAGAGGCCACTCTCATGCCATGGTGACACCTGGGATAGCCATAGGGCACTCCACTGCCCATGCCTCAGGAATAGCCTCCACTTGGCCTCGCAGATATTCTACAGGACACTGAGAGACTAGGAAGCAGGTCCTGTAGTAGTTGTTGGTATCTATGTGGGTCCTCATTAAGTTAACCAAAAGCACACTCCACAGCCATTCAGCAACTGCTGAGGTGGTAACTGAAAAGCTCCTTGGGGGCATCTGTCTAACATGTGAAAACCTTTATCAGTCTGGCTTAGCAGTGGAGGCACTGTCACCTGCTCCACTTTTGCTGGGCATGTCAGGGACAAACTTCACCTGTTTCTACCACTTAAGGTATCTGGGAGTTTTGGAATACCCTGGGGTCATGGCACCTTACCAGACCAGCCAGCATTGATGTGTAAAATGGCTGTGGTGGTCCACTGCTGCCTACATCACCACAGAGGAAAATTCCTTTCAGTTGAGGAAGTCCTGGCCACAGTGGACTGGGGAAAGGATGTTGATGTGGGTCCCATCCATGGCATCAATGTAGTTTGAGAACCCCAGTTCTGTGAAACTTCATGGCCTCCTACGGGTTAGCAGGGGCACCGTTCCCTCCTGGATCACCAAGGTGAGCTCCCATACTTTTTTTACCCATTGTAGACATGCCAACACTGAACTAGCTTGCCATGGACTGGAGGCTGTTGAGGGTTGCAAGTTTTCATAGTACAAAAGCATAGGGCTCTGGGGCCGAGCCTTAGGAAGTTGGGGGCGCAGGTGGTCTTCTTGTCCATCTTTCCAGTTGGTGGTTGCCATCAGCATCAGGATGCCTGCATGAGGGAAGTCAACCTGCGGTTTCGGAGTTGGTGCCATCATGTGGGTTTTGGCTTCTACAACAACAATCTGCACTTCCATGGGACAGGCATCCTGGGACAAGATGGTCTTCATCTCTCTTCTAAAGGTAAGAGTCTGTTCTTTTACAGGTTGGCTGATCTCCTCCAAAGGGATTTAAACTAGGTTCATTGGGGGACAGGGAAGCAGAAGATAAGGAGAACCTAGGATCAGCGAGGCATGAGCAATGCGCTGGATCAGCCCAGGTAAGCACTAAAGGGCCTGATAGACATCAGGACAGGGGGTACCAAGGGCACCCATCGGGGGGTTTAAATGTCTCTATACTAATGCTAGGAGCATGGGGAACAAGCAGGAGGAATTTGCACTCCTGCTTGCAAGCAGCAACTTTGACCTGGTTGGACTAACTGAAACCTGTTGGGGACCCTACTCATGATTGGGCCGTAGGCATTAAGGGTTACAGGTTGTACAGATGGGATAGAGTGGGGGAAAAAAGGAGAGGGGGGTGTTGCTCTCTACGTTAAGGAACAATATGCATTCTCTATTAAGATGGGATCAGAGGAGGGCCAGACTGAGGTACTGTAGGTCAGGATACAAGGGGGCTGGGGAGGAAAGCGACTTGGTAATGGGGGTCTACTATAGACTGTCACACCAGGAGGATGAGCTAAGGACAGCTCTCAGAGACCGTACAGTCGAGAGAGATGGTTGTCATGGGTGACCTAAACTACTCTGACATCAGCTGGCAGGAGCAGTCAGCCAAATCTAACATCTCAAGTAGGTTCTTACCCTGCATGCAGGATGTCCACCTAATGCAGGAGGTATACGATCCCACCAAGGGAAACGCCTTGCTGGACTTGGTGTTAGCTACAGGGAATGACCTGGTGGGGAATCTGCAGATACAAGGTAACCTAGGGGATAATGACCATTG